CAAATCAAAATTTTAGCAGAATTCTTTTTCTTTTTTCGTCATAGTTGGATAGGGCTGGTCAATTTATGTAAGAAAAACTATATTTCAAATTTCAAACGATTTTTACGAAAATCCAAATTCTGGGTCGATTTCTCCATATATCTGAAAATAATGTTATCTTTGACTTCTTCGTAAAATATTTGTTGTTTGAATTGGAATCATACTTTTTCTTATATGAATTGACGAGCTCTATTCAACTATGATACAAAAAGAAAAAAAAAATTGCTAAAATTTTGATATCTTGGTCTAGGTATGGCAACAGAAGCCTATATTTCAAATTTCTTTGTTTAATCATGGGAGCTGTAATTTGACCCGCATATATCTGACCTTATTAACTATCAATACAAACATCTCCGTCGCTAGTCAAAAAATAACTATTTTAATGTGTGAAATGACGCACATTTTAATGCCTCACATCAAAAGCATTCTGTGGCATCTTTTGTGACCGTTTTACATCATTATAATAATTACCCTTTATAGGCATTTTAATGTCATTTTACCATTTTTATTCGTGTGTGGCTACTATGGCTAAATATTTTTTTCTTTTCTGCACCATTAAACGCTAAAAAGAATCTGAATACTATTTCGCCTACGAAAAATTGTTTCCGATAAGGATTTGTCGAAAATGAAAATCGTTACTAGATTTTTCAGGACAGGATTGGCTAACAACTCCAAATTCTTGTTTACCAGAATCTAGAATTCGGAATAAAGTTTTATTTGAACACTGTACGATGATAGAACAAACAAAATTCTACGAAACGAGTAGTTGTCAAGCTCTGCAGCGTTTCATCTTCGGGTTATATAAAATTCAATGAAGACCTGCAATAAGATTTTTGAATTCGTCCACCCAATTAGTCACTCTGATGACAATAGTACCCTGTGCAAGTGGTAGAGTACTTGGTCGATCTGACCATAGTTTTTGCACATTGGAGACATCGATATTCTATTTCAACAGTTCTTTCATTAATGGCTTTTCTCAAATCATTGTGGAGGTAAATGATTCAAATTAGAGGGTAAATATACAGAGAAAATTGAATAACCTCATTTTCACCTGAATTTTCGTCCATACATAGTCTACCTAATACTTGTTATGTCCTAAACTTTTTACTACGAACGGATTTGTCTATCATATGTAGAAGTGTAACAGTTCAGGTTCGAATGAGCTGGTGAACTATCTCAATTGAATTGTTCGACATTTCAGGTTCAGATGAATTGAACTGTTTGATAGTTCTTTGAAAATAACTAAACTGGAAGCGAGGTCATTACAAGATGTAAGTTTATTGCTAGGAGAGTTTGGTGAATGACACTATCATCTATTGTCAACAATTATTAAGTACGATCTGCCGTAAACGACAGAGTTCAACTTGTTACTTCCAACAAAAGTGACTAGCATTGAATATTGTTTTATCAAAATCCACTATCACTCTTTTTTCAATAGGGATAAAGTTAAAAAGTGCAGATAAATCACAATATTATAGACAGTCATAAATGCACATATATTCAATCGTTCTGTCACTCATTCGGTTGATGTCATAGTTCAGTATGACGAAGAATTCTTTATCTCGCTTAGGCAACATAGCTAATTCTACGATGTTCAATCGTGTGATCAACAGAATGAGCGACAGAACAATCGAATATATGTGCATTTATGGCTGTCTATAGCATTGTGAGTTATCTGACCACTTTTACTTTACCCCTTTATGGAAAGAAAGTTTGAAGAGAATACCAGGACTTTCGCTATATGCGTTTCTGGTTGTCTAAACTGGCCAAATTATTTTGTAAATATCGTTCTCCATGCATCCACATAAGACCAGCAAAATAAATTTTGCTCACTAAATCGATGTTTTCGTTCTTATTGTACTTTAAAGAAAATGGCGATATGTTCTACTAACAATTGCTGTTTTCATTTACATTTACTCGCCGAGAAATAGCTAAAGTACAGTAAAAATACCCTTGATCTCAGATTTTCATGAACTGAAACTGTTTACTTAGCAGATTTTATTGACATTCTTAAAGCATCTTGAGGATCTATGAGCTTCTTGAGTGTCGATATAGGCAGAAAAGGTTGAACAAAAGACCGAAACCCATCCGGTATATTCTTTTCGTCAAGGTGAAGTTCGATTCGCTTGATAAGTTGATGGACTAATTTCAGTTCCTCTGTCTGTCAGATACCTTAAAAGCGCGAAATCCTTTTTTCAAAATATCAGGAAATAAAATGACTTCTACATCTTTTCTTACGAGAGGGTCTGCCATATGATCCAATAAGGGCGTATCTTCCGAAAATTTTGCCCTTATCTTTTTATTAATGGGATTGATAGCCCATGATTATAAGCTACTAAATCCAAAATAGGAGCTCGATTAGTTAAAAAATAAAAAGCTATCAAGAATTGCACTAGCTGCATCCCAGTTATTTACGTTCATAGTAGATATTTGACACACTAAACTATTTGTTATCAACATTGGCAATTCGTACTCGAAGTGCAAAAACAAAAAGATGAGCTTGGCTATATCAGGAATATTAATTCTGGTATTCATTATGGCACCAACAGCGCTCTCCAATACATTCGCTAATTCAATTGCTGCTGCTCGTATGTTACTTTTTGAATAGAAATGATGAAAATCCTAATTCAATAACAACAAATAACATGACATCTTTTACAAAAAAAGTCAAATATTCATCAGTAGTTTGAGAAGATGTTGTTGATTACTTTCTTATGGTGAAATAGCAGATGAAGATCCGCTCGAAGACTTTGAATGACGAACGGAGGTTGTTGGCAACAAGACGAAAAACTCGTGGCTCTCCAAAAGAGGTCCGAGAATCCACTTCTTACCAATATTTTTGAGAATTGCCAAGACTTCCTTGTGATCAACGAAAAAGTCTGTTTTCACGAGCGACACAGGTTGCTGATTGTTATCGACAGCAAGAAGAGATTGAGTGTTGAAAATGGAACCAACGAATTGAGCATGTGAAAGATAAGGAACGTTGCACGCTCGAATGACATCTTCTGCATGATTAGCTATAAATTTCAAGTCGATCTGAATGCCATTACAAGCGTTGGAGAGGGCGACCACGGCATGAGGATGTGAAGTGACGAGCCCAACGACAACAACATCTTCAATACTATTCTTAGCCATTGAAAGCAGGGTCCCGGCCACACCTCGACTCCGGTAAGAAGAGCTAACGACCAATTGAGTAATCCAAACGGCATTGCCATTTAATCGATCGTATGGAGCCCATGTGCAGAAGGCGTGTCCAATAAGTTCAAATTGATCATTATCGGATGAACGTATTTCTGCTGTGACAACAAAACAGCGATCGTTGAACAGCATCATCTCACGAAGACGCTTGACTCCAAGTTTAACACGAGTATCGGCTTGTAATACATTGTTGCTATGGAGAGGAGCATGGTCACTCCAGATACCGTAGTTGTTATTAAACAACGTTGAGCATTTTTCAAGGTTCCGATCCGTCAGAAATGAATATTGAATACACGTGTAAGAGATCGGACCAACAGACGCCATTTATATATCTGAAACAAAGACACAACAAGTAAATTTCTTTGTCTCTCGCAATCATTCAGATACTTCAGTGTCCAAAAGAAAAAAAACGTGACTCGTATCTAGTGTCAATCATTCCACATTCACCTAGACATGGAATGAAATCAATCATTCACTATCCTTCTTTGTTTACTTGTGTAAACTTTTTGTTTATCAGCTGAGCCAATCAAAATGAACCTGTTGTTTTTAATCAGTTACATAACTGAGTCTCATGAGTACGGTCGACAACGATTATCCAAGTAATTATATATTTCTGTATTGTTTCACATTGCTAGTCATACCTTATGATCGAAGCTAAAAAAAACAATATACATTAAGTATGAAAAGAAACTATGTTCAACATTATAGTTGACTATTTTTAATAGACAAAATATTCATAAATAATGTTAGCGAGCACTCTAACATACATCTTTATTTTATCTCTTTTCTTCAACTTGTGTGTATATGCGTCATCATTTGGATATACATTATCCACCCTATATACGAACGTCGATGTATTTCTTTCTTTTCTCCTTTCTCTCTCTCTCTCTCCTTCTCTTCGTTAAACTTAAGGGCATTTTAATAGAAGATGTCGGACGTCATCTTCATAATTAAATAGTCCGGGCTGGAGTTGAATATACATATTCACCACTCTCCTTTTCTCTCTTTGCATTGTTACTTATCTCTCTCTCTTGCCTTCTCTACATGAATATATATATATATATATCTTTTTTTTGGGTTATATGAGATTGGAAGAGGGTAGAGGAAAATAAAATTGAAATTAGTGTTGTTGTTGTTGGTTACGAACAAAATAAATTTTCTATCTTCTATTCTGTAACAAATAATATTAAAGAATAACAAAAAAATAAATTTCAGATTCTTTAAATTTTAATTCCGTGCAATAATTATAAAAGTGAATCATAAAAACTTTACTAAGAAATTTTAGAATGAGTTTTTATGCTGAATATTCACTAAAGCCAGCGACACAATAGAAGACCCCGGGTCTTCTAATCTGTCCTACCATTCACAGTTCACAAGGGGGTCTTCTAATATGCCCTGCAGAAAAGCAACGTTTTTCGCTCTCTCTAGTAGGGGTTATCATAACAGGCATTTTTCATGTGGTTTAGTCATTAACAAATCTTTATTTCCCTTATCCAACATCAATACAATAAGAAAACAATCTTTATTCTAGCTAGAGAAAAAAACATTTCACAATCACAACAAAAATATCTGTACTATACAATAAACTTTTATTATACATAGAATATTTGGTCCACAGTTCATAAACAACTAAAGTATTTTGCGAAGGACAAATGAACTCTATCAAAAAATATTTTCATATCGTACGATCAAAAAGAATAAATTTAAAACCTTTTTTCTATCCACATATCCTTCAAAGTCAATTGTTTCTGTTGAGTTTTGATTTAAAAATATGGAGTTTGTTCATGCTGTTCTGAATCACCATCCTGCACGACAATCTCTGATTCATTTAATGTCATCGAATTTGGATCGAATTTGTACCATGGTATGTGACTTGGTTGAATGATTGACTTATCAGACCAGGTATAACCTAATGAACGAAATGCTTTTGGAAAATCAATTGATTTTACAGTACGTGTCCCTGCTGCAGCAGTAAGTCTTGTACATAAAATACGTTTTTGAGAAGCTGATAGTTTTAATTTTGAACGAGGACCATTGATTTCTAAGAATTCTTCAGCACAATCGTAATAATTATTTTTGAAAGCAGAAAATACGTGTACATCCAATAACTGAATATATTGAGGGCAGCCTGATGGAATAACTGCTATACTTACACTTTTGTTTCGCATTCTTAATTTCAGATCATCGTTCAGATGACTTGTACAGCTATCTGTAATAAATAATTTACGATTACCATCTTCGACATTTTTTAACCACCAGCTCATGTATTTTCCCATAGTTGGTGTATTAATATATGATTTAAGAGTAAAGAAAACTTTGACAGCTCATAAATAATGTTTGTCTTCAGAAGCAGCAACACTTCCTGTACCTCTAAATAAAAGAACAGGTTTTATTCTGTTATTACCTTTAGGAAAAACACATAGAATAATTGTTGCAAAACGTTTATCATCCAGGTGTCCTTCGATTTCATTTTTGGTACTGATATCATTGATACAACGCTTCGACTCGTCTCCACATAGATGTAAAGGTGATTCGTCCATATTACAAATATCTGATTCAATAAAGCATCCCATTGCACCACGCTGTGGACCCAATTGACTGCATCGTCGCAAGAAACAATGAAACTTCTCAATTTTTAAATGTGCTTCTGAACGAGTAATTTTTTGTCGCCGTACAGGTTTTTGTAGTGATAATCGATGTCTCTTTAAAAATCGTGTATACTATTTTTTCGATGGTTCTTGATTTTGGTTTGCAGCACAAAATCGTTGTCCTTGTCGTATCATAGCTTTAAATGTTACTTTTTCCTTTGGAGTATCGACACTTTCTTGACCTGAACCTCGTTTTGATCGATACCATTTAATTAGATGTTGATCCAAATCGCAATAGGTTAATTTTGTACCAGCACCATCCATTCGTTTACCCTTTTTGCCTTTACCACCTTTATCTTTCACTAAACTATTTAATCGATCTTCATTATTCTTCCATTCACGTATCATTTTTCTTGTACATTTATATTTAAATTCAAGAGCATGTAAAGAAGCACCTTTATTCAGTTTGGAAACAATTTTTAACTTCTCTTGAACATTCCATTGTCGCCGTTTATGATGAGTTGAATTAGTTGTCGTTTTTGCCGTTGGAATATTTGGTGTATGAGTAGAACAAATAATTTCTTCATTGTTATCAGAAGTTGTCGAGTTTTCGTACCCGTCTTCACTTGTATTATCATCATTGTTAAGGTTCACCTGAATAAAATCTTGATTTATTTGTTTCGTATCGCCAATTTCGATATCCGAATCAATTGAGCTGCTTTCGGAATCAGACTCTTGGCCAACGTCATTATCAATATTTAATGGTAATAAATGAGAATTAATTATCATACCATCATCCGTACGTGATATTTAATATTTATTTAGTTATGATAAAGTTTAATGCTTAATTTTATACGATAAGAAAAATATTCGAATGAAAAATGACTGCACTTTATGAGAATAATCGCTACTTTTTGCATATAATATGTATGAAACGCTCTTAATTTGTCCTCTATTAATTTCCAATTTGTATGTAACTTCAAAGAAACATCACACGACAGCAAGTAAATAAAGATGAGGACAAAAGAAGAAACGGATTGAGAATAAACTACTCGTCTATGCCTATTGATTATGTTCTGTATTGGTTCAACACGGCCGAGTTAGAACAGCAGAAAGGAAAAAAAAAATTTCAAGTGAAGTTAAAAAATAAACAGATGCAGAAATAATACATAAAAAACGCTGAAAAGCGAAGAAATGAACTATTATAGGGAGTCTTCTAATCTGTCTTTTGCTTTATTCTTCCAAGGGGGGTCTTCTATTGTATCGCTGGCTTTATATTTAACTTCAAGAAAAAATGTTTAGAAGTAAGCTATTTAAAATTTTTAGAGAAATTATTGTCGATATTTTTATTCTAGAAGTATATATTTAATATTTTGTCAATGCTTACTCATGTTGTCCACCTTTGTTATACATCTTATCTTATTCGACGATTACTTTCAATATTCAGCATAAAATCACTTGAACTTTGCCAGACCGTACCAATTACAATTGACATAATTAAGAAAGGATCTGTACCATTGAATTTTGTCCAATATGATGTTATTGCATCTCATTATCATCTTGAAGTAAAAAATGTTATATCACATTATTTCTTTATAGTTCATCTGTTGAACGTAGTTTAAATATTCCTTATGAGATAACATCAGAAAACAGTTTTTTTTGTACTTAAGATTTTTTTTTTTGAAGATATACTTGTAAAAAGATGAATAAAATATTTTTTTACTTCAATACAAAATAAAACATTTCAAACAGGTGCCACAGAAAAGGCTCAACTTCAACGACAAACTGATTGTCTAAAATAAAATTAGAATTATATTTGAGATTTGCTTTCGATGGTGGGTGTGGGTGGGAATGCATTTCTACCTACACCCGTACTGAGTTACAAAATAACAAATCGAAGAAAAAAGGTATTTCTTTATAAGATTAGCATCGAAATACTTTGACAAGACAAGAAACTGACACGCACATATCAAGAAACGAGCGATAGAACTCATGTTTCTGTCTTTCTAAGACTGAGTACACTAAGTGATAGCAAATAGATGCTTTAACCAGACCTGAAAAGGGAAATGTTTGTAAATACATTTATCTATAAATTAAAATCAAGTGCAGACTGTTAGCAGACAAAGAAATATGAACAGAAGAGAGGCATAGAACGATTTTAGTCTATAACTTATAAGACAGAAAATAAATTACAGAGAATAGAAATGGATATGCTAGGAATGTCTATGAGAATTCCTCGATAATTTTTTATTTTGTTGAAAGTATGATATTCAAGAAAATAGAAATTCAAATTTTCAAAATCTAATCGGAAAATCACACATCAGTTCTCTTATGAAAATTCTTTTAAAACCGTGATGCATTTCACAGTTGGAACTTATTTTAGAAAATAGAAAACCTGTTGAAATTTTTTTCAAGAAGCTATAGCTTCCTTTTGTATATAACTACGTAGTTGATCTAAAGGCTTGTGGAAGTTTATAGTTCATAATCAGTTGCATGCAAACGAAAGAAGCACAAATCTGAAAAGAGTCGCGATTTGCTTTTTAAAAAGGTATTACAGAATTTAAAAAAACCTATTCGATCAAACTTTTTATGACAGAGAATATGATTCTGGGTCTTTTTTCACTTGCACTCACATCACATTCATAATGAAAAGTTCAACCTCATATTGTCGTCTGTCTCCTTTGTTCTTTTGTTCCGGTTTTCTAGTGATTTATTAAGTCAAAGTTCTGTTCTTTGTTGAAAATCATTTTTAGGAGTTTATTCCTTTGGCATTTATCTTTCAATAATTCTTGTAGTAAAATCTTTTTGTCGTTGCCATGCTGTCGATGGTAGGAGAGCTCCAAATAAGATTTAGCGATGAATATTCGTTCCATTGGTTTCACTGATTTTTCTTTTTCGCCACTACAATCATGGAAGTTTAAAACTAATGGAAACATAAATAACAAACATAAAAACTCGATGATTTCTACTTTTTCTTACTTTCTCACTAGAGCACTGCAACAGTTTTTGATCAAAGCGAAATAAAAGTTACGTATCACGTTGGAAATTTACAGACGATGCTTTGAAATGGAATTTCTTTGGCTTTTGGGATATCTGTTGCAGTCGAAAAAATATGTTTTTCTATGCATTCTATCGAAGAAGGGATTCGATCGAAATACGCAGTGTTTTTTTATGAGTCGTATCGCGCAGTTCTTTGTTCTTTTTCTGCGCCTACGTTGCAATAACAATATAGTTCTTTTAAAGGCCTTCAGTTCACAAAGTTCCCTATCGAATTCATATTTGTAAAGACATTCACTTTGATTGAAACAAGAGACAAATTCGTTGTGGAAACTTATTTCGACCATTCTTTATGCGCGTGTTAGTAAGTGCGGTTGAAAATAAGATTTTAAATCATCATATGCACACTCAGTTATGCGTGTAAACACTGTTGAGGAATAAAAAGAAATATTTCGAATAAACTTGAATGGAAGAATACACTTGAAAAGGTTGGAACAAAGTCTATTGAGTTGCTTGGGAAGAGAGAATGAGGAGTGATACAACTCAATGTTGACGAAGGAAGAGAAAAAGAAGCTTTGCAAAAGACAGTAGAAATAAAAGAGAGTTGCACATAGGCTTTTCAGTATTGTAATTCTGAATTGAGACTAACGTACACATTGGAATTAAATGATATACGTATATGAAAACCAATGGCTTCGAAATTTACTGGTCTAATATGATTTTCAAGCGAAAGACTGGCGTGAGCTCTTTGTTTTAAATGGGTTTTCGGATGAAACTAGCCTATTCTTGCTCATTTACCGATTTCATTCAAAGTTTTATTCCTTACCTAAGGCTGCCTAATACAAGCATATATCATCTTCTATTAATAATGCACCAATATAGCATGGTATCTGTCTTGATTTTGACTCTTCTTTCACTGCTCTGGTAACAGCACGTAATATCTTTGAAAAGTCTGTATCAGGCTTTACAATGTGTTTCAGGAAATGCTTCGTAAATAAGCCACTTTCTTCTTTTCCATTTTCACATGCTTTGATCCCAGATGCACATGCAAACCCAATTAATGATCCAGCATTCACAATTGCTTTGTCATCACAATTTTCAGAAGCGTTTGGAAAAGGTTCTCGTGCAGTCATTTTCTCTAAATTAGGACTACAAAGGTAGTAAACTCGACAACAATTCAATAGGCATATAGTTACAAATGGGATCGAACACCGAAACTGTCCAGGAATCCTTGTACATGACGCATAAATTCTTTTAACTTTTTGTAATCTATACCTGAATTGCCTCTCGTGTTAGTTGTCGTTTTATTTAGAGAGAAGACAGCTTGTTGAAAATGAGCATCTTCGCTGCTGTCATTTTCTTTTGATATCAGAAAATTTTGATCCTAGAATAATGGTACAATGAAATTTTTAAGACTCGCTCTTGCTCGGTGCACCCAATATTTTAGACTGTCTCGATTTGTTTTTAGAGAATAAAAAATTTTACTCTAAAAGAACCCAGCAAAACATTCTCTACTATATCAGGATAGCCGATAATTGTATCATGGAGTTTGACAGAAGTTTCTTGAGAGACTCCCTTCCATTTTAGATCAGCCGTAAAACACGCCTCGAAAATAAGAGAACTCCTTTCATATGTATAAATCTTCAGTACTTACTTCCCATTGTATTCCACGTCCTGCAAAATAAAATAAGACAACACCGATTACAAGAGCCATTTTACGCCTTGATACAGTCTTAGGTTGAATTTTTGCTTCAGCCATTATCAGAAACGATTTGTATCTAAAAAATCTATATCGTAACTCGGAATACTTTTTCAAAGTGTGGGTATGGATGAAAATAGTCATGGTACATTCACATCTACCACACCTGCACCCTCACACTTGCATCCGATACAAATTCTAAGACTCTTGATTCAAACTAATGTATTTGAAAGCTTCAAATCGAGTTAGCTTCAAGACAAATGTCGAAAACACGATCTTTCCGAGAACCTGGCACCCCGCAAGAGCTTCTGACAAATAGAAGTATTACAAAGTCAATGGCTCCATCAAATCTTAATAGGAACCCAAGTCATATTAAGGTTTTCACTAGAATACTATGTAGTATCTATAAGCGAAAAATGATTGAAATTGAAATAGAACTTCTAGGAAGTTTCCTTCCTTAGTGGAGCATTTTTTCTTCTCAATAATTAGTAAGAGTTTGACTTCGTCGATAAATAGACTGTTATCCTTCTGTATTCTGAAGTCATGGAATATTTTCATTGTAAATTAGATGAACAAGTAGCATATGAAATCAATCAACTATGCCAGTTATTCGTTCTTCATGCTCATTATTGAGAAAAGAAAAGGGTGCGGGTGTGTGTGAAGGAGGCTGTGGACACGAATGTTCGCCACTTCTTTACCTATTTACATCTACACCCGTGTCGCGGGAGCAAGTATTCGGAGAGTAAGTTTTGCTGGGGAGCAAGTGTCGCGAGAGCATCTTTCATGGAATCATTTCAATGAATCACATTAGGCTCTCTTTCTCTCTTCTTATACATTCGCTTGCGATCCTAAGGATATGGATCTAAGTCTCAAGCATTCCGATATGACATGATACTCGTCGCGGGCACTTAGTCGAATTGATGAGCGATCTGTCACTTTTGATTTCCTTTTAGGACATAATTTTGCGGTGTCCAACACTATTCATCCTAAACTAGGTGCATCGATAGGTGGACTAAGTGTTTTTATCGCGCCGTCTCACTAGCCCGATGTCAGTTTAAATACGTGGTCGTCTTTCTCATAGCCTTCAATATGACTTGAAACATTTCGCTCTCATTCTGGTTAATGACTCGGTGATCTCGAGTCCTGTGCCATTACTATCACCCAGGTTTGTGAGAGCAGAACTTTGTCGCCATGGCTCTGAGCGATTCGTATGCCACTTGAAGCTTTCAGCTCTCGCTCTGACAAGTTAGTCTATTCACCAAAGCTTTTCCGTTGGAGTTCCACTCATTGCTGACTACCACGAAGCTGTTTCATCTACAGCCAGACACATTGCCGTGCAGCTTTGAGTGATTAGTCCTTAATAGTCGACACTAATACGAATAACCAAAGTTGTCCCTCTAGTTACGTAGTACCGGTGAGACAAGCGAAGGGTGTGGATATGGGTGGGGTGCGGGTGGGTGTGGGTATGGCTGGGGTGTGCGTGTTCATCTATTGTTCACCTGCACCCATACCCTGCAATTGCAAGAACTCCAAGAAATTGAGGTATATTAAATAGGACTGAAATTAATCCTTGTGAGCTGATGAGTTTATCTTATATATTAACAAAATGTTCCTTAAGATTTCTCTTCTTAGACTAATTCTTACACTCCTGAAACAATTTAAAAACTATTATTTTTTTTTGAATTGTACATCATGTTTCCAATGTTATTGAAAACATTTTTCTCCAAAAACAAGTCGTTTTTGTAAAATTTATTTCTCACGATCAGTGTTATAAATCAAAGTCATTTATACAAGTCAAGTATAATAATCACATTGTTGAGAATGTTCTCTTCTCATAAAAAGATCACTTCACTAATTGACACTATATTTTATGATCAACGATCCATAAGAAATTTTTGTAAACGTATACCGGGTGGGCCAAAAGTTTTGCAACATTTTTTATTTTGCATATATCTCTACTTCAGAGAATAATAATATCTTGATTCTTTTGTAGAAAGATGCGCCGTGAAAAGGTCTACAAAAGCTGTATTAAAAAATTCCTGCTGAATTCTTTTGATGGTTTTTCCATAATCAATATGAATAGGCTACGTGATAGTCCTTTGTCCCAGGAGTAAAAAATATTTGTAACATATTTTTATTTTCCAACAGAATTTAATCATACAACTTGTGTAGAGCCTTTTATGACACATCTTTCAGAAAAAAATTCAAGATCCTATCATTATGTTTAACCGAGATATGTGCAAAATAAAAAAAGTCTGTCAAAAAGCTCAGGGAACGAGTTTGCTGGCAAAATCGACCATAGAAAAGTTTTTTCATTCGGAACTCCAATCACAATCATCATATATAGGATGAAAGAGTTCGATGAGCTGAGCATTTTATGCAACGGAACTGGGTACTTTAAAATTGAATGTGACGAGTTGTGGGCAGATCAAGTTTCAGAATGCCTCGAAATTCACAGGTTGACTCGTTCAGTACGTTCATGTTGAGTATGGAAAAACTATCAGGGCTGGTTAATACAGTTAATAGGGATCTCTGTATACAGTTCTTGTAGAACTTTTCACGGCGCATCTTTCTACAAAAGAATCAAGATGTTATTATTCTCTGAAGCAGATATATATGCAAAATAAAAAATGTTGCAAAACTTTTGGCCCACCCGGTATAAGCATCAATCTCGTACGAAACAGATCTTTTCGCTAAAATCTTTTGTTTCTACTAAAGATTTGTTCTTCATCATTTCAGAGTTTTTTGTTTTTATTATGAAGAAAATAATTAAGTCAAAACACGAACATAAAACAATAAGCATAGATAATTGGAGTCATGAATGACACGTTGGAGATTTGAATCATCCTTGTAGGCAGACAGAACTGATAAACCATTCCCAATTTGGTAGCTTCAGATATATAAAACAAAACAGAATTATACAAACATCATGCTATTATTTAAGAGCCGCGCCAGAGATGGAACCGATGCCGGTCAGCGGTATAATAGTCATTGTTGACCTATCTTATTTTTACTTTTTTGCGGCCATTATCACATAAAGGATGTGTAACGATCCTTTCTTGAGACTAGACTATATTAGATATCATCATTCCGAGATAGACTCGGTGTGGACAAGCAATCGATATAAATTTTAGACCGTCCAGTCGCCGACAGACCGGTTGATACCGGTAGACCAGCCGATCTGACTTAGTTAGACTGGTACTGATACCCATCGTCAAAAATCTAGATCGGTTCCATCTCTGAGCCGAGCACGCTGATCATTCTACTATTTCATCTACACTTAGCTGATCTTTTGTTCATTTTGCGACTTTCTTAATGATTTTTTTCTAATTAACACCATATAAGGATATAGTTTCCCGGCGTCTAGAAAACGAAAAACAAAGGATGAATTACCATTGGTCTAGATAATCGCATTTATTACATTACAACCAAGTAAATAATATGAACTGTTTTATTCTCAATAACTATATTTTTGATGACAACCATTCATTATCAATATCTTACTTTCTCTTGAATAAAATAAGAATACTCTGAGAATTTTTTATTTAATCAAATAATAAAATTTACAATAAAGGAAAATATGAGAAAACTTCTTGTGGGTACACTAATCTATCTTCAGTAATTAATTGTTTTATATTGGTACAATTACGTCGTGTTACATCCCGTGTAAAGTTTTCTGTAACAATGTCTAATCCAGCATAACATACTTTCAGTTCGTTTAGACGAGGTAAATATGTTTTTGTTTCCATTAAAAATTGCTCAATATAATCAGTATGTACAAATGTAATATCAAGTGAAACGAGATGAGGATATTCAATGATTGTATATGAATGGTTATTATTATTGTTAAAATACCAATTATTCTGTGGCACAAGGTTCATGATATTTAAATTCTTAAGTACAGGAAATGCTCGAGTAATTCGAACAAAGAATTCATGTTTGAATGGAACTAAATCGTTAACTTCCAAACAAGTAACATAATTAAAAGTTATAGATGGAAACTTATTGGCGACACGTGTCAAATGTTCAAATTCAAATGGAAGTGAAAAAATATGACAATCTTCGACTACTATTAAAATAAGATAGAATACAAGATGCTTGTTGATATCCTTTGTATGTAAAAGTTTGCTGAACATCATCATTAGACAACCGACGAACAATATTTTTGGTACGATTTTCAGTACTAACATAAAATGTAAATGACTGAAGTTGTGACAAATGAATAAGAATATCATTGTGAAGATGGGAACCATCAATAAATGTACTTCGTTCACGAATACGAAGATATAAAGTTAATTTTTCCAATTGTGACCTACGACGAACAAGTGGTACAACTCGATCATTATAATTATAATTATCAGCCAAACGACGACATATTAATGAGAAACATTTCAAATTAGGTAAATTATCCTACAAAATAAGAATTGATCAGATTAATATTTATGAAATGAAGCACAACAGAAAAAGCTAATATTCACAGAGTAACTTGATCATTTAAATGTGAACAATTTAATATGATAATATCAAAATACTCATATGTATATTTCTACCAATATTCTATTGATTTGTATTCAGGTCCATCAATTTGATAATTGGATCTTATCGGAATTTTATGTGATATAATGAAATCCAGTAAAATTTGATAGGATTTCGGAAAAATGAACCCATAGTTTGGACCCGACAGTCAGGTAAGATTTAAATGTCACACTATTGTAACTAATACTGATTAAATAAAAGGAGTATCGAGATGATTCAATCCAATAGTGGAATCCCATCGGATCCGGCTGACATTCTCTTGGAATCGTGTCAAATCCGACGAACGAACCTACTAACAGATCCTATCTGTTGAATCTAATCAGATCTTACTGTAGTATCTGATCGAATTCCAATAGTCAGAATTCGTTAGTGAATTCGTTTCCTGGATTCCTGTCGGATGGCGGATCTTACAAAATCTGATCGAATTCGTCAACGGTTTCATGAGATATGACACTTGAACTTTACTTTAGAAAATCAGAGTCAAAGTGAAACATAATATCTAGCTTTTCATGTTCAATTCTGTGTTTATTTTAACTGTAACTTTAACATTAAAGTGAAAGTGACATATCCAGTTCCGTCACTCGGAATATACCATCGGATTCTATTGACTGATCGAAATGATGGATCTAGCTTCTAGAGTTTTACAGTATGGAAAATCTTTAGTCTATCTAAATTGCTTGTTTTTTTTTCAAAATAGAACATAAAAACTTACCCGATTATAACCGATAAATGACACATTAGAGAACCTATTCACTTCAACAATGAATGTCGAGAGTTGTTTGAGACGACCGTCAAGCAAAAAAAGACAATCATCAAAAATAGTCACATTGATTGATAGTTTCGTAAGAATTAAAGAAGAAAAGATAGTCGATGATAAACCAACAAGTGCTAAAGGTGGATATCGTGAATTAGATGGTGCAATAATAGTCAAGTGCGCCAGATTTTTTCCAAAAATGTAAATATATGTCCATATACATTTTTACTATAATCCAATAGGTCTATTTCTCTAGTGTATTTATCATTATTTATAATGATAAAATCTGTAATCTGATGTTTGAAAATGTGTTGAGCAATGAAATTATCTAAATAGATAATACATATTATTTGCCTTTCAATGCTTTTGCTATTTAAATATCTTGAATTTAAAAAAAAAATGCTAAATGATTACCTGTGAAATAATGTAAAGCAGTTCTTCGCTCAAAATTAAAAAGTTTCAATTCAGTTAAATTTGAATAATGAGAAGAAGCAAGAAGAATACGCTCCATTGACAATGGTTCAACAATAAGACATTTTACATTAGAATAGATTCGAGGTAATACATAATTACAAAGACGATCAAGTATTTGAAGATTAATTGACGAAATATGATCAGTTGAGGATATTAATAGAAAATTGAGAGTATTTGTGAAAATCGTATTTTGTGCTAGATTGTCAAGTCGTTCATTATTAATATCCAGTAATGAATAGAGAACATCAATGTTTTCAAGCTTTTTCAAAATTGTAAGTAAAATCTGATCTGACAGATCAAGAAGATGAACATGAGTTCGATTCATTTTTAATTCTGATTGTGACACTTTTCTCAAAGTGTACATGCATATATATACAAATATTCATTGTTTGCTTGTTATCCGTTCGGTCAATAAGGGGTCAAACACACTAGATAAAGCAAATTGAATTAAAGTTCAATTAAGCGATACAATTGGTTAATTCAGACTTAAGTCATCTTTTTGAGACGATTTAACTGTAAATTAACCATTCATCTTGCTTAATTCAATTTTAACGTTAATTCACTTTTCTAATGTGTTTGACCCCCAAGGTTACAAACAAACTAAGAAATGTGATTGGTGTTTCTTCGTAGCAACATCAATCATATTTCTTAAATTCTATTTTATTTGTCTAGTATGTTTGGAATCTGAGAAGAAGATGTGCATTCATTCAAAGGTGTAGGTAGTGTGAAATTTGGATCACTTCTTTATAGTGCAATTGCAGCAAATAATGTTATCGGTATGCAAGAAGTTCTGGCTAATTATGCACTTTTGTGGAGACATCACTTTTTGCTAGTTCTCAGGCTTCAACATTGTACTAGCAAATATTGATTTCATTAGCATCGTACAATGATGGAATTTTTCCTCCATATGGATGTTCAACATGGATTCACCTAAATAATGTCAAAAAGTAAAGATACCAAGAAACAGAATGTCAGAAGTAAACGTTTTTATCGTATGAATTTACAGAAGTTGCATACTGATATAGAATGATTCGAAAAAATATTTGAAGTTAGATGCATCTCGAAAGAAAAATCTTCTCACGATATGCATTCACCATCATATTAATAATCTTTATACTCGATATAATAGTAATTAGATATTGCTTATCAACTTCTAAAAGGACTCGCAAATATTGTAACAAAGAAAAATAAATAAAGATGTGCACGCATAACAGAATTTCATTCTTCAGTTCCATATTTACTCACTATTTGTTCAGTTTTGTCTGCGTTAAATTTCTTTTAATAATAATTGCTCTATTTTTAAAGTTTAATAAATTCTTCATTAAAACACTATAACACTAAATTTTCTTCTACTATTCTCCTACACTATTTTTCAAGGGTGTGGGTGTGCATCGTGTTGCCCACCAAACTAATATTTATACCGACACCCACACCCACACCCTATCCTCACCCTTTTAGTTAGTTTGTTTGATCGGTTTAATCAAAGAAAAGTATTAGCAAGAGTTAAGCAAATATCTATTCCAAGTTATAGATATGAAGGTGAAGAGTTATAAGAGAATGCATCAACTTTTATTTGTAAACGTATGATTTCTATCTCATCTCTCTAATTTTTCGTTCTTGATTAACACATTAGTTCTTAGTGTAACTGTGAAGTTGTTTTTTGCTTATTATTGAAACTGGTCCCATTAGCTTGGTTTTAAAATGGTGGGTGCATTCGTCAAATGAAAATCCTTCATTCATACAAAAAAATAAGAGAAAACGAAATAATGTAAATATTTCAAATTAACAACAACAAAAAAAAGCATAACAGAATACATTGTAGATAATCAAAAGAGAGAAGAAAAAAATGAACAGATTCATAATCAGATACCAAAGACAATATTTATTCATGGTAGCTATTGCCAATCTCTATTCGAATTATTATTCTTTCCTGAAGTATGAGTGGCAACAATTTTATTGCCGTGAGAAGAAGTAGGTATACGTTCAGCACTACTGCCTAGGTTATAAAAACTAAGGAGTCACAGCAAGGTGTCTGTGAGTAGCAGTGTATAGGTTATAGAAACATGACAACAACTACTCGAATAAATACTAATTGTCATACCGATGAAAGTAAAGATAGTTACAATCGATAAAGCATGAACAAAGACACGAGAATAATCTGAATTCAATAAGAAAAGTTTTCGAAGAAGATAGATCTGTAAAAAGAATGAGACTAATGGCAAAATGCGACTACCTATCAACTGAGCATAAGTGATACACTTTTATGAATTATCAGATTTGTTCAATAAAACAGTACAGAGACAATCATCATAAGGAAGTTCACAATATAAAATTGGTGAAATGTGTGTCACATTTAACCCACCAGAATCAAGGACGGATTTTTCGACTTCGCCAAAAAGACGTAGAAGATATGTATTGAAACAGCTAATGGCGTAAACAATACAACTAAAACCAAAAATACAGCCCATGTGCTTCAGAGTCGAATAGGTGCGAAATTGTTTTTTCATTGTGATATTCTCTGTTGTCGTCTATATATTTGTAGAATTACCAATTATGATGAGAAGAAAATCTGAAACGAGTTAGGAAAATGAATAAATATACGTGATATACAAAGAATAACTCATTATGTCTGTAATGACCATGTTTAACTTTTCGGATCAAGAAGTAAATGATAATATGTAATTATGTGTAAACAGATTTTTCTAACTTTCAGATATAGTGAACTCAATGATAATTAATATTCTCAATTAAAAATGAGTGCGTAATATTTATTTGAGAAAAAATTTCAATCTGTTACAGCTTTTGTATTTAGATAGACCTTTATGGTATAGAAGATAGTAGATATAGTTAAAGAATAATCAACATTTACTAAGATTATATCTAACAACAGTTTCTCTAGATATGTCACTTTTCGAAAATATTATCATTGGATTATTTTAGCAAAGGTAACAAACACAAACAAGATATGATATTTTTCTTGAAACAGGCTCTTCATCTTGTGGTTGTATTGACCGTACGACGTTAAAGAATTGTCTAAACAATTCGAAAATATTCTACTTTTCTTTCGAATAATATCATTTACAAAGACAAGAAAATTTCCTGAGAAACGTTTAACACATATAGAGACAAGGAAAATATAACTATGATGTACATGAAAAAGAAATATGAACATGAGTTTTTATCTCACACAATTGTTTGTTAACATTAGTTTACATAACATATCGAGAGAGATACGGTAAGAGTAGTTGATGGCTAATAGTTTAATAGTATTTATTATTATTAAACAGAAAACAAGCTTGATGAAAACTGGAATTTCGAAGTACGATCACACGTTATCTATTTGTTTAGTTGTTTTCAAGATTTCATACTCACAGATTATTAAAGACAATTCACAACATTCAAGTGGACCAAGAAATTCTTCTCCAATCTAAAAACAAAAATTTAATTAAATTTAAAT